GTGGTTGTCTCAACTTGCAGCTGCCTTTTTCCCTTTTTTTTTTTTTTTTTTTCAAAAAGTTTACTTATGGGACCAGCAGTTGGCATAATGGCTACATCAGTGGACTCCCACGTAGTTGCCTACGGTTCGTGTCCCGGGCTCGGTGGTTTAAACTCATGCCGGGTGCGTGTATGTGCATGCCCAAGATCTTGAGAGGAGAATGGAGGAGAAGGGATTGCGGTGTGACCATCCTGCCTAGGGGGGTAATTTCTTGCTTTCTGTCTCTCTGTCTCTGTCTGTCTGGCGAGCACACATGCCCTATAGCAAAACCCCCTCCCCACACACACAAAAAAAAGTTTACCTATTTATTTCTTCCACGAGCAAGAGAGGGAGAGTACCTCCAGCAGGGTCCCAAAGCCACGATCTACCCAGCCTTGAGCCAGTTGTGGATCATGGCATACCTGTGCCCAGCCTACTCAGAGAGGTCTTTGGGCTTGAGCAGAGAACCTTCCCTTGTAGGGTTACCTCACAGAGCATCTCATTTTACCATGTGACACCACCTCTGCCCCCCTGTATAGCTTATCAAAACTGTGTAGAGTGGGTGGGGTCTGGGTGAATGCTTGATGGTTACCTTTGCGTTTTTCCCGTGAACTAGTTAATTTATACAGGGGAGAAACTTTTTCCTGTCTGTACAGATGGCACTTCCTATTCCAGGTCCTTACTTTGGAAAGATCTTGTAATAGTGGCTGCTGTGTTTTTGTATTTGTTTGTCATAGGGCAAGTGTACTCAACAGAGAGGGAAGGTGAGAAATCACCCCCCAGGTGGGCTGGCCATGCCCCAATCCCTTCTCCAGTGTCTTCTCAGGATTTTGCATGTTACAGGCGTGATTTTCAAGCCACCAGGTCTGAGACTCAAACCGCAGTTGGTCATGTGGGAGGCCAGCACCTTGATCACTTTGCTACTTGCTGTCTCTGTGGCTGCCATTTACTGAGCATTGGCCTATGCGTCAGGACTGTTAAAGATATTCTGTGGACATTTTTTCACTCTCCCGACAACGCTCTGAGGTTGTTGTCATTGTCGGTTTCACAGATGACACCGAAGACTGCAGACAAGTTAACTTTTCCTCAATGAGGCAGCTTGTAGGTGGCAGAGCTGGGCTTTCACAGCAGAACTGTGTGACTCCGGGGCACATTTTTCTCCTGCGAGGCCTTCAGCCTGCCTTCCTGTGGGTGAGTGTGGTAGCAGAGCACAGGCTGTCCAGATGCCAGATGCAAGCCAGGCATGACGCAGCATTCTCTGGGAGCAAATCAGTGACCCATCCTCGACAGAGAGCAGCCTCTCTGCTGACACTCCACCAGGTCAGGTAGATGCAGATCATCACAGGAGGCTAATTTACTACTTGACCCTGCCATGCAGCACTGTTGGGGCACTAGGTGGCGTGGTGGTTGAGGTGCTGGCATCCCATGGGTCAAATCCCATACCTGGTGGCTTGAAATAAGCCAGGCACATATGCATGCATATTCAAAATCCCAAGAGATTGGAGGAGAAGAGATTGCTGTGTGGCCATCCTAGGGAGTGATTTCTCACTTTCACAAAAGTGAACATTAAAAATGCAACAGTGGTATTTGGAAAATAATAATAATAATAATAATAATAAAAGCAGGGGAAAAGCCCTGTCGCACAGTGGTGAGGAGATCTAGACCCCTCATGACCAACTACAGTTTGACTCCTAGCCCTAGTGGCTTGGAAAACATAGCAGCCACATGCACATGCTCACCGAAAGCCCTGAGAAGATGGAGAACTGGAGAAAAAAGAATGTAGCCTGGCCACACCCCACTGGAGGTCCTTCCTTTCCCCCTTTCTCCCTCTCTGGTGAGCACATGTACCCTCCGACAGATAAATAAAGTTATAGGTAATTGCATGGTACTGAGTGGTAATGTATTTCTGCTTTTGTTCTTCTGTTCATCTTGAATCTCTTTTCTTGCAGCTTATTTCAGTTTTGAAAAATTTGCCTGAAAGTCTGAACAACGGAAGGCAGCAGCCGGCCGTGGGGGTGACCTATGGTGAGTGTTGTGGAGATGGAGGTCAACATGGTACAGTTCTCCAACTTCCACTGATTTTTATCTGTGTAGTAGGTTCCCTAAGTGGTTATGATGCACAGGACAACAAAATGAATGATTTGCCTACTCGTTTGGAAGTAAGAGACTTTAGGATGCACTTTCCTAAGAAAAGTGAATCGTTCCCTAATAGCATCCAACATCCTGGCCATATTTTTAATTTTCCTAATTGTCTAAAAACATATTTTATAGCCTTTTTTTTTTTTTCCAAACTAGGATTTGATTGTAATTCATTGTTCTCTAGCTTCTTTGTTTTTGGGAGACAGTCTTGCTATGTCGTGCCCCATCACAGTCCTATTGCCTTTGCCTACCAGCCAAGCCCACGACGCCCAGCCCTTTTTCAGAGAGGGTCTTATTGTGTTGCACAGACCAGCCTCAAACTTGGGGTCCTCCTGCTTCCGCCTCCCAAGTATGGTTACTCCTAGTACTCACCACGGCCCCTGGACTAGCGGTGGGACTGAGAACTGAACTCAGGCTCCTATGTGGTCTAACCTGTGGGGCATAGTTTCTTAGCACAGTGTCTTTGGTCTCTTTAATCTAAAGTAATTCCTCTACTATTTTCCCTTTTTGTGTCATTGACTTTTTGAAGAGCCCAGGCCAGTTATGACTAGTTTGTTTCCTGCCAATGTTTAATTTGTTTTCTATTGAAAATGTTATTGGAATGTTATTAGAAAGAGTATTTCATGCATAATACTGTGTTTCAGTGACATTTTTTTTTTTTTTTAACAAATGATTTTAAAAATTTGGGACCAGCAGTTAGCGTAATGGCTATGTCGCTGGACTCCCATGGGACCCAGTGGCTTAAAACTCACGCCGGGCATGTGTGCGTGCGTGCCCAAGATCCCAAGAGGAGAATGGAGGAGAAGGGATTGCGGCGTGGCCATCCCCTCTGGAGGGTGATTTCTCGCTTTCTGTCTCTCTGTCTCTGTCTGGCTGGCGAGCGCACACACCCTATGGCAAAAACCTCTCCAAAAAAAATAATAATAATAATTTGAAAAATTTATTTAATTTCATTTGTTATTATAATTCTTTTTAATTTGACTAGAGAAAGGCAGAGAGAAAGAGAAAGAGAAAGCAAGAAAGTAAGCTGCCAGGTCCTAGACTTGAACTGTGATCACACATGTAGGAGTCCAGAGCCTTCACCATACCACCTGTTGGTCCCTCCATTTGGTTTTAATTTTAAGATTTTAACATTTTTTCTATTATTTAGTTTAGTTTTTGAATATATAAAACATATGCCTGAAGTAAAAGTTAAAACTATTTGAGAAAATGAACTCAGGGAAGTCTCCCTCTTGTGCTTCCAATCTAAGGGTATCACTTCAGTAAGCCATGACATCAGGTTGTACCAAAGCTAGTGAAGCTAAGTGCGATCACTCGACTGAGACAGGGACCACCACATCAGTCCAGTGTAAAGATGTGTTTTTCTGTTTACTATTAACAAGTAAGCTATGGATTAATTCTGGACACTAAAAATATCCTTATTTATTGCTAGGCAAAATATTGCTACTAACAGAAAAACTACTGACTAACATTTCAGATTTCTTTGTAGTTTTCTTTTTTCTTCGTCTTTAGAATGTATCCTGCAAGGGATATGTAGTCAGATTACTGTGTTTAAAATTTAATGGAGATCACTGCTTTTTCCATGTAGTTTTGTTATCTACTTTGAAAATAGGTTTATTTCTTTCACTTTGTTTTTTATTTTATTGGTTACATCAATTTCCTTTGGGATTAAATTTTATTTTTGAATAGGTAAACAATTTATATTATTCAGAAGTTAAAACCATTTAAAAGGTAGACACAGAGAAGTCCTGCTTCCATTTCTATCTCATCCGCTTCTGCAGCCTTCCCTCCCTGGGTAACCATTTTCATTAGTTTCTGATTCAACCTTCCAGCGTTTTCTTTCACTAAGATAAGCAAAAACACACATGTTATTATTTTTCCTTCACAGAAAGTGGCATAAAATAACACACTCTTCTGCATCTTTCTTTTTTTAGTGAAGAGTGTCTTAGAGACCACTTCCTGTTAATAGGGAGAGACTTTTCTTTCTTTATGGCAGCATAGTTCTCAGTATATGGGTAGACCATAACTTATCCAACAGCTTCCTTACTGATAGACATTTGGATTATTTCTAGTTTTTTGCTGTATCAAATAATTCTGTTAGGAATAACTTTATGTCCATGTTACTTCCTAATCTAATAGATAAGACATTATATCTTGGAGTAATTTTAATTTACTTTATTGCTGTGAGTGATGTTGAAGATCTTTTCATATGTTTAAAAAGGACTGTTGGGGCTGGCAGGTGGCCTGGTGGTTAAGGGTGCCGAACTCCTACATGGCCAACCATAGTTCAAATCCTGAAACTGGTGGCTTGCTTTCTCACTTTCCCTCTCTCTCACTCTGTTCCTCTCTTTTATTTATTTATTTAAATAAATAAATAAAGTTAAACAAAATAATTTTTTTAAAAAAGGACTATTTGCATTCCTTTATTCTGAGAAGTATCATATCTTTTGACCATTTTTCTATCAGATTTTTTATCTCAGTTTTTAGAAGTACTTTAAATAATAAAGAAATGAGTCCTCTGTGATTTAAATTGCAAATTCTTTCAGTTTGTCCTTTTTTGTTGTTGTTTTTTGAGAGATTTTTGCTATGGGGCATGCTGGAAAGACAGAGACAGAGACAGAAAGCAAGAAATCACTCCTGGGCAGATGGCCACACCACAATCCATTCTCCTCCATTCTCCTTTCAGGATTTTGAGCACATACGCACACTCACCTGGTGTGAGTTTTAAGCCTCTGGATCTGGGAATTGAACTGCAGTTGACTATGTGGGAGCCCAGTGATGTAACCATTGCGCCATCTGCTGGTCCCATTTTTTTTTAACTTATGACATTCTGTATTATAAAAAAGTTTCTAAGTCTCACTTAACAATTTTTAATTGTTTCTAGACTTGGAGTCACAGAAGGCCTTTTGTACTCCCAGATTATAAAGAAATTTACTTGGATTTTCTTTGAGTAATTGTATATGGTTTATTTATTTGGTTTACTTCTTTTTACTTTGTGTTATAGAAAAAAAAATTTTAAATAATTGTTTTATTTAACTTTATTTTTTTTAAACACTTGACCAGAGAGGGACAGAGAGAGAGAGAAAGTGAGAAAGCCGCTAGGTCCAGGACTTGAGCCGTAGTCAGCCATGTGGGAGTCCAGTGCCCTTAACCATCATACCACCTACTGGCCCCATGTTATGGAAAATTTTGAACATATACAGAAGTTGAGAGAAAAATGTAATGGGTTCTTTTGTACCTATTATTCAACGTCAGTAATTATCACTCATGGACATTGAACCTGATATTCATTCTTGCTCTTGGCTTTATCTTGTAGCTCCGAAGATATCTGCTAGTACCAGCTGTATAAAATGGGAGGAACAAACATCAGAGGAAATACTCAGGCTTTATCGTGCCATTGGAAGTATAGTAAGTTGTGAAGTCAGGTTTTAGTGTTGCCCAATTGGTTTGTGTGTGTGTGTGTGTGTGTATGTGTGTGTGTGTAATTTGCTTCCTAAATATTTTTATGTAGGAACATATGTCATAAACTAAGCATAGGAAACCTGAAATTTATTTTAAAAATATTTTTCATGGGCCAGCTCAGTGGCGCTGTGGTAACATTCTGCTCAAAAAAAGGCTGGGTGCATCTGGAAGATCATGAGTTTGATTCCCTGGTCAACCTGTATGTTTTGGGTAGGCATGGCATGATCCCAACTGACAGGGAAGGTGGGGAGATCATGGTGTGGGACCCCATTAAAGGTACTTGTTTTTCCTCTCTCTCTCACTCTCATAAAGGAAAATAATAAAACTTTTTAAAAATAATTTAAACATTTAAGTTTTTATAGAGGCCTTAGTTTTTTTTTTGATGGGGGAGAGGTTTTCACTATAGGGCGCATGCGCTCACCAGAGAGACAGAGAGACAGAACGTGAGAAATCATCCCCTAGTGGGTATGGCCATGTCCCAATCTCTTCTCTTCTATTCTCCTCTTGGGATCTTGGGCACACATGGACAAGTGCCTTGTGTGAGTTTAAGCTGCCGGGTCCAAGACTTGAACTGTGGTTGACTACATGGGAGTCCAGCGACATAGCCATTACACCAACTGTTGGTCCCGAGGCCTTAGAATTTACAAAATACTGGGGCAAATTTACAAAGCACTGGGGCCAGCAGGTGGTGTAATGGTTACGTTGCTGGACTCCCATGTGGCCGACTGTGGTTTGAGTCCCAGACCTGGCAACTTGAAACTCATGCAAGCTGTGTGTGCACAAAATCCCAAAAGGAGAATGGAGGAGAAGGGATTGTGGCGTGACGATCGCCCTGGGAGGGTGATTTCTTGCTTTCTGCCTCTGTCTCTTTGGCGAGTGCATATGCCCCATAGCAAAAATCTTTTTTTAAAAAATGTACAAAGCACTTTCAAGTTTATATTATGAAGTTCCCCATAAACAAGTTTTATTATCCTATATCGTAGATGAGTGGAATGAAAATGAGTTGATTAACTTAGGAATACCCAGTCACTAAATAATGAACCTGAACCTTCTAACTCGAAATCCACTCCTTTTTTTCACAGTGTCTTTCTGGTTCTGGCCCATTTTTAATAATTCTTAATTTCTTTTTACATATGGTATACAAAGTGGAGTTATAATGTAACAGCTTGTTAAATATTTGAGTTAAATTTTCAATTCTTTGACCGATTTGTGTTTTTTTTCCTTTCATTTTGATAGCTATTTGTGTTATTTGAACTCTGGGTTTACCAAGTGTGTGGTATTTAATGAACCACTCTGTAATTAATGTTAGGTCAAGTGGGAATCTGCCTCTGGATATCTGTAGCACACCCAGGTTCTTCAGTTATGATCACAACTTTGTTTTGTAATTATTATCTCACTTTAATGGAGAAATTGGAACAATTGAGGCTTAAAGTACTCAGTGAATTGGTGTTGAGTGTTGTTCAAGGGCACGTCACTAGTTAATAAGAATCAGATTCAGGTTTTGCAGATGTGTCTGATTACAAATTCTGTACTTTTCCTGCCATAGCAGAAGGGTATCAGGAACGTAGACTTTACAGCCAGGCAGAACTGGGTTCCAGCTTGTCTCTGATACTACCTAACTATGTAGACTTTGGAAAGTAGTTAACGGACTACCTTTAGTTTGTTCATTGGAAGACTAAGGCTTATATAATGTCTGTCAAGCACCTGGCATGGAGTAGGTACTTATTAAATGATAGCTGTTATTATTCATTCATTCATTAAATAAAATATTAATTGAAAGCCATGTGTTAGGTGCTAGAGATACGGGTGGTATGGGAGGACAAACAAGAAATAAGTAAATAAATTTTTAAAATTGGGGCCTGTCCTACATGGCCTACTGCATGGTTTGAATCTCAGCTGTAGCAGCTTGAAAAACATCCCAGGCACATGTGTGTACATGTCCAAAATCCTGACAGAATAGAGAAATGTAAAGAAGGGATTGCAGCACAACCAGGCGCCATTGAAGGATGTTTTTTCCCTCTACCTCTCTCTGTCTCTCTCTCTCTCTCTCTGATGAGTACATGTGCCCTCTGGCAAAATTTGAAGAAAAAGAATAAATCAGACAGTGTGATTAAGTTCCTTGTTGAAAATGAAAATAGGATGTATGGTAGAATAACTAGAGGTTATTTTATTGGAACATTGGGGAAGTCATGACGCATTTTTGCTTAGAAAAATATGTCATGACTTTCCTGACGACCTAATGAATTGGGTAGATAAAGAAGACCTCTCAACTGACATTTAAGTTGAGATCTTAATGACAGTAAGGAGTGAGCCTTGCCAAGAACAGAGAAAGCATTTCAGGCACAGAGGAACTAGTACAGACCCCAAGGTGAGCTAACCCAGCTAAAGTTAATAAGAATCAGATTCAAATTTTGCAGAGCTGTTTGATCATGAATTCTGTACTTTTCCTGCCATGGCAGAAGGTTATCAGGTACATAAGATGCTATGTAGAAGAAGGGATTGCAGCACAACCATTTCCATTGGGCAGTGGGGCAGGGTACTTTCTTTTCTTTTTTTTTTTTTTTTAAGAATGATTTTATTTAACTTTATTTATTCATTTTAATTTGAACAGAGAGGAGCAGA